TCTAGTTTTCTGGGCTTTCTCAAGCTCATCCCCTTAACCCTTGGTTTCCCTTCGCCCTGAGCGTTTCTCTCGGCTCTTTCCAACGGCAAGAGATGAGGACGGGATGGCCGGTCCTCAGACTCCAGCTACTGTACAGCCACACCCTGGTGCGGGGGGCCTCTCCCTGAGACAAGAGATGGCACGAGTCCAGAGACGTGGGTTTCAGTCCCAGCTCTGGTGACACTAATAGCCAGCAGCTACTGGATGCTTGCTTATGCCAGGCGCTGTCCGTATAGTACCTCATTTAATCTTTGAACAATAGCCCTGTGAAGGGCGTATTATTATCACAGTCCAACAAATGAAGAAACTGAACCTCAGAGACTTGCAGTGGGTTGGCCAAGGCCATATTCAGTTGCGTCTGACTCCAAGCCATTCCTAAGCCCTTGACAAAACTTGTGTTCTCTCTTAGCCTCAGTTTCGTCATCTATAAAATGGGGGAAGGAAACTAGTGTCTCTTCAAGCTCTAGCCCTGGTCCTAAGATTCTAACACGAGTTTCCGCAGAACTCTTAAGTCCGGTGCTCTTTTTTCTACCCCTTGATTGTTAGAAGCAGCCATTGGCTTATAGTAAATTGAAGCCAGCACTTGGCCCATCTTTTATTAGTAGTAGATAGACAGCAGGAGGCCCGGGGGAAAGGACTCGCTGGGACAAAGCCAACTGGTGCTTGAGAGAGAGCTCCGGGTGTGTGTAAAACTCTCAGCAGTTTAGGACAAAATATGGATTGGAATCTCTCCCCTACCTGTCATGCCATTTAGATTGTCCTTCCCGGAACTTGTGTTGCATTTCAAGAATCACCTTGAAGTTCACTTAGACCCAGTTTCACCTGGGCAATCTTCTTAGGATAGAAAAAATGAGCAACATGGTAGAGTGTGGAAGGTGACTCAGAAAAGACTGGGGTTCTGCGCTTGGCCTCACCACTCAATAGCTCTGTGAAGTGGGTTGAAATCCTTGCTCTGATGAGCACTGTACATGGCTTTGAGCAAACGCTCCCACCTCTCTCTGCCTTAGCTTACTCATGTTAAATGCGGGTCAAGTTGCCCACCTCACAGGGCACTTGTGATCTTTAAAGGAAGCCTGTGAAAAATCCTTATCTGTTGACTGTTCCGTAGCCTGTGATAAGTATTTGTGCTTATTTCTGTAAAACATAAAAAGGTGACTGTGTTCCCTTATGTGTCTTCTCTATCACAGGGTGTTGATGAGGATTAAAGGAGATCACTTACATGAAGACACTGTGTGTGTCTCTAAATAAGTTATTATAGTTTATAAGTGTTCTCTAAAAAAGTTATTATAGTTTAGGTGCAGCTCTGCATGGGGGAGATATAGAGTATCTCTTTCAACACTCTTTTCTGTAAGCCTTATTTTTCAGAATGTAGCAAAACTATTTTTGAGCACCCTGAAGACACAAGCCTTACCAAAGAAGAAAGCCCAGATGAACACTCTTCTTTTAGAAAGGAGATGAAGTGGACACTTCCCAAGCTGACATAGCTGAAACAAACTTTTTATTGTTTTAATTCAAGTTGGCTCTGTTATAATGTACCTTTCATTTGAGTTACACACAGGATTTTGTCCTCCATGATTGGACTGTCAATTTCATTCCTGGTGACGTTTGCACTCAGCAAATTGTGTGGGCCTGACACTGAGCTGTATTTCTTACCCCTCCGATGTGGGTGTCAGCACTTTCCTTTCCCTTTTCAGCAGGACCATTCCACAGGCGTCCGGGTCTGGAAGCCAAGAGCACTAACTCTTTTTTTCACCTTCTTTCAACTGAGCAGTTCTTACAAATCCCCGGACACAGATTGCATAGGCCGATACATTTAATCGACATATTTACTCTGAAAAATCTCTCTTAATCCCCAGAGAGTTAGCTAAGTCCTAACATAATCACATTCAAAATAATGGAATATGAAAGATTCATATTTCAGCTCACTTTGGCCCAAGTCCCCAATCTCACAGCCTATGTGAGTCCACTGCAGGCTTGGGGATTGGAAGAGCCTCTGGGAAATGGTAAGATGGAGCCAGACCTGGGAGGTAGGTGGGGTTTGGGCAGGCAGAGGACAGAAGGACAGCATGGGCTGGCGTGGGGTAGTGTTGCTTAGGTGAGATACGAGGGGCCGGTACCTTGGACAGAGTCTCCAAAGGGCTGCCCGCCGGGAGAGCTAACATCACCACTCCCTCCTGTGCTGACCAAAAAAAAAAAAAACAAAGAAAGATTCATATGTAAAAGCCTCTTCATTTCCAGATCATTGGTGTTCTAAGCATCAAAGTTGATTGGGCGTTGGATAAGGCCGGGTTCAAATTCAAGCCTGCAATTTGCTAGGTGAGTGCCCTTGGACAAGTCAGTTCATCTTCCTAAGGGTTCAGTTTCTTCATCTGAAAAATGGATAACTGTTCTCAGAGTCTTTGTGAGAATTGCATGACATAATAGGCAAATGACACTTCTGAGTCTTACCCTTTTCATCTGTACAATGGAGATCATCTCAACTCCTCAACGTTGTTGTGAGATGGTAAATATGAAAGCTCCTGGCACAAAATAGGGCTCAACAAATGTCCATGTTTTCGATTCCTTAGGCCCCACCCATTCCTTACCAGCACATCACTCTATAAAATCAGCATCATTTATTCTTTCCCCCAACAAAGTAAGTGACTAATTTCAAATGCCAGAGAACAGCAATACTTGCAAGTTGTAGAAAAAGGCAGTGTAATATAGATTGGACTGAAGTCCAATCTACCCTTTTATTATCCGACTGACTATAGAAAAGTCACTTAACCCTCTGGACCTAATGGTCTCATCAATAAAATGGGAATAATAATGTGAGTCTATTTGATAAGGCTACAGTGAAAATCAACGAGATAATGGAAGTGGAAGTTCTTTGTCAACTATAAAGCTCTAGATACAAATATAAGATATTCATGGCTTAGAAATTCTATAGCCTGATTCACAAAATTGATTCTTGCACATAAAATATCCATTCATTCACTTATTCATTCAACCGAAAGATACTGACACCAACAATGTGCTCAGCACTGTGCTAGTATTACAGATACAGAGATAAGGAGCCATGATTCCTACCCTTTCTTGTGGAAAGACAGCCATGCAAACAAGCCATTGTAATATAATATAATGCTTCTCAGTGAAAGTAAATTAAAGTTACGACAGTTGATGGGATAATAGGACCCTCAAGTCTGCCCAGAGGAGTTGGGGAAACCTGTATAGATAGGTAGCATTTGAGCTAAGACTTAAATGATGCATTTGAGTGTGCCAAGCAAACAAACAACATCTCTGGGAACAGCCTGGGCAGAGGCACAGTCATATGAAAGCAATGGTGTTTACGGAAAACTATAGATAATAAGGCAACCAAACTTCTGCTTGAAATAGCTCTATACCTGAAACCAAAATAAACCCTTAGAGCTTCCAATATCCAACTAAAGTGTAAATGTAGACCCCACTTCATTGTCTCAGTTGCTTTCCCCTTGATCTCCTTTCTGTTGGGGAAGAGCTCTATCTGGGATGAAATTAGTTTCAGCAAAGTCAGTGGCCAGCTCCTGCCAGGCCCATCAGCCCCTCCTCCCAAACCCTGAGTGAGCACGCTCCTTTGAGTGGCTTTGACATCAATACATTTCACTTCCTATAGGGCAGAGGGACCCAGCTCCAGCCTGCACAAGGGCCTCTCTGCAGAGCTCCAAACCAGAGCTCTTTTGCTCCAGTGATACCTAATGCTGAGCAAGTGGGATTAGTCTCCTTGGGAACCAAGCCCCCCAGGGGCTCAAGGGCTGAACTCGCCCCAAACCGTTTGGGAGAATTGAGATTTCATATTGTTCTTTTACACTTGGATTTCAGGACATTACTTAGACAAAGACCCACCTGAGAGCTGCCTCCTTTCTTGTGGGTAAATATAGCAGCAGGATCAAAAGCTGACTTACTTATTTTGTTTTCCTCTTTGTAACTTTAATCATATTCCCTGCAGGACAATCTTAGTCCTCAGAGATGTCAGGAATGCACATTCATAAAGGGAGAAATAATTATGCATCTTTTTTTCTCTCTCTCTTCCCATACCGATTTCCTGTCACTCACTATTTTTGAAACCTCAAATATAACAAATCAATTCCTCCATTTCACCGCACAATTTATAAAGTATCGATTTCATCATAAAATAATGTTATTTTACAAATTGCGCACCCCAAAAAGTGTATCTCTTGTTTTCTTTCTCATTCTTTCCTCCTGCAAACCAGATTCTACTAACACTAGATCTTAATTTCCATCTTAAAATATTAGACGTTATTCTGGTCATCTATAGTTGTATAACAAACTACTCCAAAACTGAGTGGCTTAAAACAACAACCATTTCATTATATCTCCCAATATTATGGGTCAATAATTTGAGCCATGCCTGGCTGGATGAGCCTTCTGGGCCACGTGACATTGACAATGGCTGGTCTGGAGGCTCCAAGATGTTGACATTCATGTGACTGCTCTTGTGCCTAAGCTTTGGCCTTTCCAACATGCTGGTCTAAGAGTACTCAGACTTCTTACATGGAGACTCAGGAATCCCGGAGATAGGGCTGCAAGAGGCCCCTTATGGTACCTGCCAGTCTTCTTATGACCTAGCCCTGGAATTCCTGGAGCGTCACTTTCCCTACCTTCTATTGGTCAAGCAAGTCATTAAGCCCAGCTCGGACTCAACGGGAGGGAAATTAGAATCCAGCTCTCAATGGAAGAAATAGCAAAGAATTTGTTTGGTATGTCTCTTAAATTTCTTTTAATCTATATCGCTCCCCTTTTTGTTTTCTTTGCAATTGATTTATTGAAGAAACTGGGTCATCGCCTGGTCATCTTGCCCATATTCTGGATTTGGTTAGTTGCATCCATCTCCATGGTGTCATTTAACATGTTTCTCTGGCCCCTGACTTTCCTATAAATGGGAAGTAGGTATAGAGGCTTGATCAGATTCGTGTTCTTTTTTATGCTATAGCACAACACACACACTGTCACACATACATATATACTATAAAATATATGCTATGACGTGTATAATAGTTTCAGAATAGCACTGCCAATATTTTTACTAATAATTACTAAAAACAATTTTATTATTTTTTCTTCTTCTTTTTGCCATTTTTTTTGTCCTTGAAACATATCCCACTAGTGATAAACGGTCCAATGTTGTTGTTGTTGTTGTTGTTCTCAGTGCCACTGAGTGGATTCCAACTCCTAGTGATTCTATGTACAGTAGAACAGAATTCTGCCCGGTCTTTTTGCCCCATCCTCTCACCTTTCAGTGCTAATCAGACAATGCTCTGCTGCTATTCTTAGAGTTTTCATGGTCAATTTTTTCAGAAGTGAAGACCAGGGCTTTCTTCCTAGTCTGTCTTAGTCTGAAAGCTCTGCTGAAACCTATCCACTAGGGCTGACTCTGCTAGTGTTAGAAATACAATACCCAGCGGCACAGCTTTCAGCATCAGTGCAACAAGCCACCATCACAGTATGAAAACTAACAGACAGGTGGTGTGGTTCCCTGACCAGGAACCAAACCTGAGTCATAGCGGTAAGAATGTCAAACAGTTCAATTACTATGTTTTAAATTCACTTTAAAAGATCCTCTCTGTGGGGTCATGCCAGTTCAACACACAGTTAGGTTCATTTGTTTTATTTTGCTTTATATAAAAACTGCTTTATAAATCTTTAATTTTGTTTTATAATTTTTTTAAATTTACATGGTTTCAAAGTCAAAACTACACCGCAAGGCATATTCAGAGAGGGCTAGCTTGTATCATGGTTCCCTCCACCCGATTTTGTCCCCTCTTGCTATAGGTAATCGTTGTTGTCTTGTTTTTTTTGGATCCAGGCTTACCCTTTGTTAGATAATCATATTTTTATCATACGTACTTTCCTCTACCTTGTTTTTTTCACTTAACAATAATATATCTTCATTCTTTTTTACAGTTGTGTAGTATTCCACTGAGTGGATGGACCATAATTTAGACAACCAGTCTTGTTATGATTAACTTACTTGGGGTTTTTCCTGACCTTTTTATATTGTAAATAGTGCTACAATGAATGGCTTCAATGTAAAACCAAGATTTACTAACTACTGGTCTGGTGATCCTTTTATAATATTGGTGTAGTTAGGAAAATAAGGCAAATACTAATTTATATTTCATTCCTTCTTTTGTTTATTTAACATACATTTATTGAGCACAGACTATGTCAGGAAGTGATATGATTTTGGAAAGAGAGAGAGATGCAGAATGCAGGGTCATACCCTCAAGGAACTCATGATCTAGTAGACAATGCAGACACATATTCAACAGAATGCAAAGCTTTATAAAATAGGGTGGAAACAAATCACTGTGGGTACAATAGAAAGAGAAATCCACTCAAATAAAGGAAATTGGGAAAGAGGCATTGATGTGACGTTTGAGTAGAGCTTTAAAGGAAGAGTAGAATTCCCCAAAGTACATAAAGACAATATAAACAAGAGATATAGGCCACATGGAAATTTAGCTGTAGTGTTTGTCCTTAGCTAGGATGTTTTCATTTTTTACAAGGAGAATGTATTCATGTATTATTTGCTCACATACATTACATGTTTAGTTAAAATATTAATTTTTTAAATGAGTATAGATGGCATTTTCAGTGAGTAATGAGTGTTTCTGTGTTCCTGGATATGTATAGGAAAATAATAGGAGAAAATGCTAACTGGGCTGGGATTATTAAAGACACTAAATGCCAAGCCAAGAGACAATGTATAATCAACCCTAAATTCTGTAATATGTCTTTGCCTTTCTATATCTCTTGAGATATTATTGGGTTTGTTTTAAGCCAAATGAAAATAAGACCTGCAGAGAAAAGACCCAGATTTAAGTTTTGGATCTACTTTTTAATTTATCTTGTTTATTAATTTATTCTATTCTGCTTTATTTCAGAAATAAATTTAGGCTACTTATGAGAGTACATAAAATGCAATAAGGTAACACAAATTAAAAGCAAGATTGTAACCCAGTGCCCAAATCTTGGTTCCTAATACCATTCCCCAATAAAAGGAACTAGACCTCCTTGGAAAAATGGCTGATTCTAGGACTGGGGGTAGGGAACATACAAGATGAGCCTGGAACATCTTATAGTGCCAGAAAGTAAGAGAGTGCTCAAAACACAAAATGATGGG